AGGGTTATTTCCTGTTCATGTGACTGTGTACTGAGGGTGTTCCTGGTCAGCGTGCACTTTCCTCCGTGAGGTCATTGAGCCCTGGCTGCTTCTGTCTGTGGTCCCACCAGGCCTTACAGCCTTACAGTCTCCTGTCTCAAGCTGGCAGACAGGCAGAAGGGCTGGAGAAAGCACACCTGCTTTTTAACAACCTCATGCTGGAAGTGACCCAAATGACTTTCATTCACGTCTCATTGGTGAGAACAGTCAATGCCTCCACCCAGATGCAAGGGGGATTGTGAAATGTAGGCTCTCATGGGGCGGCTGCTTCCCAGTGGTAAGTTCTGTGGAAGAGGAAGCATGACTTTATGGTGAACAGTTAACCACCTCTGCCATAACAAGGTGGGTATGCTATTAACTCAAGGCCACACAACTAGGAGATAGTCTATTAGCTATCTATTTCTGCATAGCAAATGACCATGAACTGAATAACTTAAAATAACACACAGCCTAAGCCAGGAGTCTGGACATGGTTTAGCTGGGTTCTCTGCCTCAGAGTCTCACAAGGCTGTAGTCAAGGTGTTGGCTTGGGCTAAGGTCTCATCTGGAGGCTTGCCTGGAGAAGAATCCATTTTCCCTCTCAAAAGGTTCTTGGCAGCATTAAGTTCCTTGAAGCTGTAAGATTTATGACAGCTTTGTTCTTCAAAATCAGCAATGGACACAGTGGAGCGGGTGAGGGAGCAGGAGGCTCGGGAGTGGTATATAATATAATGAAGTTGTGAGAGCAGCATCTCCTCACCTTTGCTATAGTCTACTGATTAGAAGTAATTCACAGGTCTGCCTACATGCAAGAGAAGAGGATTATATAAAAACATAAACTCCGGGAGAAGAATCATGGGAACCACCTTAAAGTGTGTCCATCACAATAAAAACCTCAAACCCAGACTGTCTGACTACAAATCCAATGTCCTTCCCATTTAATCATTTGTCCATCTTTGGACTCCACAGTTCTATTCTGTAAAATGAAGATAAAATTTGCATATAATATACCCAGTTATTATGAGGAACAAATAAAATAGCAGATGTGAATGCACTCTATAAGCTGTAAAGCACTCTGTAAATTTAATGGTTTTTATTTTTATTTTATCCCCCTGCCTGTGATGTTTCCCTACTCTTCCTGCCCATCTAAATCCTATTCATCCCTCAAGGATGATCCCAAGGCTATCACCTCCATGAAGCATGTGTATCGGTTGGGATAAGGGTCAAATGATGGCTCAAATAATTTTGAAGCCAGAGCCGATAATACAAATCCACAAAAGCACTGAGGATTAAGACACCTTCCAGTTCTCTTGTCTGTCTGAGAACAGAGCGTGGCCTCTGTTCTCAAGGCCCAAGATGGCTACTGGAGCGCCAACCATTACATTCCGAAACCAGACAGCTAGAAAGAAAAAATACTTTTATAGATACTTCCAGAAGTCCTACCTAAGACTTGGATCCATGTCCTTTTGACAAGAACTAAATCCCATTCCTATACCTGATAGCAATAGAGCCTGGGAAATAGTTTCCAGCTGGGTATGCTAACATCTTGAATAAATGTAGGGTTCTGTTACTAAGACAGAGGAAGAGAATGAATTTGGGGAGAGTAAATGGTCTCAGCCATAAGATGTTTTATTTATTTATTTATTTTTGAGCCAGAGTCTCACTGTGTCACCCAGTCTGGAGTGCAGTGGCGCAATCTCAGCTCACTTCAACCTCCACCTCCAGGTTCGAGCCATTCTCCTGCGTCAGCATCCTGAGTAGCTGGAACTACAGGTGCCAGGCTAATTTTTGTATTTTTAGTAGGGTCAGAGTTTTACCATGTTGGCCAGTGTAGGAGGGGAGATCCCATAAGCACTGAGGCAGGAGCAAAAGGTCTCAGTCTATTTCCATATAAATAATGAAGAAGAAATTACTAGAAATATAGCCATAGTAGTTATTAGTTATTCATATGTGACCTTAGTTATTCATAGGAAATCTTAATTCTTTTAGTAATGCCTCTCAGGTTGGAAGTGTGAACCTGGGGTGACATTGTGAAATGAATGACACTAAGGCGAGATACCCTAGGCCCTCTGTCACGCCCACATAAGGGCTACTGGAGGGTGCCTCGGCTATGTGGCAGCGCCCATGCCATGAAAGCACCCGCTGTTTAGCCAGGTAGAGAAGGAGACATCCAAGATGACTGAGATGTCTCCTTCCCCGGAGGAGTTAGGAGAAAGCTCCACTTCTCCAAGCTCTTGTGGTAAGGCCTGACAGCTGTCAGGCAGACCCACAGACATCGGGGGCTTAACTGTCTCTGTGTAATGCTGTGCTTCAGCGGTCACATTCCATGTCTATTCTCATGTCCTGCTTCTGCACATGGTTCCTTTTTTCTTAGAAAAGATAATCAGTAATAGTAATATAAATCTTAATGTTTTAGTTCTTTCTTGATAAGTATGGAAAAAGTGCTGATGCATTATGCTCCTTACCTCACTTCGGGTGCCAGAAATTCCTAAGCCCCCACCTGTATGCCAGGCCCTATTTTATCCTGCCCCTAGTCACCAACCACCAAGGCCAAACCCTACCTACACCCTACCTTCCCTGTCCCCAGATTTGCAACTCAATAAAAGTGAGAGCATCCAGGCTTTTGGGGCCACTGCTGGTCTCCGCCATTTGGGTAGCAGTGGACCCCTGGGCCCAAACTCTCTTTTCTCTATCTCTGTGTCCTGGGCTTTCATTTCTACAATTTCTCATCTTCACACCAGCCGGGAGGGGCTCACAGAACCCTGGTGGGCTGGATCCTACAGCCCAGGCTGGTCTCAAACTCCTGACCTCAAGTGATTCACCCCCCTTGGCCTCCCAAAGTGCTAAGATTACAGGTGTGAGCCACCATGCCAGGCCTCATAAGATGTTTTAGAAACATCAAGTATACACATCTACCTAGAGGAAAGGGGATAAATAGAAATTTCAACAATTTCGAACTAGATTTGTAGAGTGCCTACAATTGCAGGCTAAGGGATTACATTTCACTTAGTATCTAATGAGGAATAGTGACATGATGAAAGGGGTGTGTTAGGAAGCTGAATATAACTGTGGCTTCAGGCTTAGAGATAATTAGTTCTAAGGCTGTTATGATCTAGCAAGAGATGAAAAGATCTGAATGCTACCTGAATCGGGATGGCGGGGAAGAATAAAATTCGAGAGAGATTTTAAAGAAAAAAATCCAATTATGTATACAGAGCAGGAGAGAGGACAAAAAAGCCAAGCTGGTGGAGAGAAAATGAGACAGGAAAACCTAGGGAGGAATAGGAGGAGCAAGGAGAACTCTGTGGCTGACTGTGAGAGTTAAGGACGGCACATGATGGGGCGTGGCAGCCAGTGTGAAGGCCAGAGCAGTGAAATATTTCTAAGAGATATAACTTAAGTGTACACCACGTGTGGCTCCATCTCTTACAACTTAGGCGAGCCTTGGCTGGGAAGATGCTCAGGCTCTGTGGACCTCAATTTTCCTCACTTGAAAATGAGGATAATGAGTCCTACCTTGCAAGATGAGAGTTCCTGGTACACAGAGTCAACCATGGCAATTACACCTAATTTTGCAACTAAAAAGGGGAATAGAAGCATACCTGGCACTTCACGGCATGCCCAGCTGAGTGGCCTAAACAGATCCGCCTGTTAAAGCAGCAGATAGGTGAAGGTCCTTTCTCTTCCAGGAAATTACATGAATCTACTAGCTTTAATGTCATAGAAAGCCCAATCATGGGGGATAAGCAAAAAGTAACAAAACATTTCCTTATTTAAACTCAGTGTTCTCGAAATGCCAACCACTTTTACCAGCCATCTGCCAATCTGAGACACGTGTCTGCACCAAGCTGAGGCTGCGTCCCACCCACCCACCACCGCTCCTGAGGAATACCTGTAGCCAGCCTCAGGAGCCAGCCTGACTCCACAGTTATGGCCCTGGCCTGGCCTCCTACCTCAAAAGGCTAGCGACATCTAGCCCAAGACCTCAGAAAGGTCTGCAGATAACAGATCCTGCCCCAAGGCCACACCAGCAGACAATCTGAGGTTGCCCAAGATAGGCCATCAGACAGACAGGAGAGGCACCCAACATAGAAAAACAACATTCATTCCTGCCCAGACAGCAGGTTGTTGGGAAAGGCTCTGTACTTCAGTGAGCATTGATTAATTGAATGAATGAATATCCCTCAAGCTTTCATTAAGAAAGATAGGCTACAGAACAGATTTATCTGTGAAATATTTTGAACGGCTGCCAGCAGTTCCACTCTCCTAATTCCATCCATAAATATAATGTGACAAAAGCAGAAAAAGATCCTCGGAATTGGAATTTATCAGAAAGTGTAGAGAAAGAAAGAAATTTAAATGTGCAACCATGTAGCAATGCTTTGCAATTTCCCATTACAAAGAAAAGCTTCTAAGAGGACATTGTTTACTTTGTTAGAAATTGAACTTCTGGCCTAAGACTTAGGCTTATGTTTAGAAAACTGAATTTTCCCTTCATGATGTAACCAATTACATGATGAGACCACTTTAGAAGGAAATAATATCAGTACTAGAAAAGAAATGCTTCTTGCTTCAGAGCAAATCTGATAACAATTCACAGATCTACTTGGAAAGGAAGGCTACACTAAAAAAAAAAAAAAAAAAAAAGTCTAATTTGGACGTCACCTCAGTGATGATTATGCCTTTGTTAGTTGAGTGACTTGTGCTGCCCGAACCCATGGCTTTGATCCAAAACTACCTCCACACAGTGTCTAAAATAGCAAACCCAGATGAACTGAGCATATGCAACCAGAGCCAGACACGCGCTCAAGCCACACTATAAACAAAAGGAAAGAGGATTCAGAGAAAACAAGGTTAAAGAAACAACCAAAATGTTTTTCTAACACAGACTGATTCTCTTTCCCAGAGAAAACGAGGAAATGCATTACTTCCTACATTGTTTTATTGAAGGCTGACGTGGTTTACACAAGCTCCTGAATTCTAGGAGTAGCTTTCTGCAAAGCAGTATTGCCTCCTAACAGCAGTGTATATTCACAAAAGAAATGCACTGCTAGAATTTTCGCCTGCTCACCTCCCCCTAAAAGAGGAACTGCAGCATTGCAGAACCTCTAACTACCGGTATTTACAAATCCCTTCATAATTCTGTTAGAGTTAACTTTCCCTTTTATGTTCAGGTTTCAGAGTGGTGTGTTCCATGCCAAAATTAACCACTGCAACATTGAAAAAATGCGTGTGTTTAGCGTTGAATATGGAGGTTTCTTTGGGTGATGGGAGTAGAATCAGGTGTAAATTAGCAGTGAGAGATATTCAAAGCCTCAAATGCTCTGTTTTTTTCTATCTCACTCATAAATTGGAAAGGAGGAGGACTTCTGGAAAGCCTTCCTCCAGTTTTTATAAGTTTGCAATACTCTCCCTGGCTGGCTTTCCTGGCACTGACCAAAGAATGTGTGCTGTACAGCTCCTTGAAGAACTCATGCTCTTCTGAGGCCTCTGTTGTCTGGGAAACACCCAACAGACATGAGTGTAGTAGCAGGTGGGAAACTTCCAAAGGCTTCTGTGCACCATTGCCTATCTCAGCTAGTGTCCGGTTTAATTAATATTTAATTTAGCTTAATAGACATTTAGATTCAATAAACTTTCAACAGAGTCTATTGTGGATATTTTATATTTAAATCATTAAAATTAGGTCCTACAATAGAGAGGGGAAGAATCTCTTAAAATAACATATTTCTTGCTCTAAGGCTGTTTTAGTGTTTGCTTCGCAGGGCCTCAGAGTTTAACAAGGTGCATTAGAGAGTATCAATAGAGGCAGAAGGATGAGGTCAGGCCTTCGAGACCAGCCTGGCCAACATGGTGAAATCCCATCTCTACTAAAAATACAAAATTAGGCCGGGTGCAGTGGCTCATGCCTGTAATCCCAGCACTTTGGGAGGCCAAGGTGGGCGGATCACGAGGTCAGGAGATTGAGACCATCCTGGCCAACATGGTGAAACCCCATCTCTACTAAAAATACAAAAATTAGCTGGGTGTGGTGGTGTGTACCTGTAATCCCAGCTACTTGGGAGGCTGAGGCAGGAGAATCACTTGAACCAGGGAGTCGAAGTTTGCAGTGAGTCGAGAATGCGCCACTGCACTCCAGCCTGGTCGACAGAGCAAGACTCCATTGCAAAAAAAAAAATACAAAATTAGCCAGGTATGGTGGAGGGTGCCTGTAATCCCAGCTACTTGGGAGAGTGAGGCAGGAAAATCACTTGAACATGAGGGGCTGCAATGAGTCGATATCACAGCACTGCACTCCAGCCTGGGCAACAGAGCAAGACCCTGTCTCAAAAAAAAAAAAAAGAAGCAGAAGGAGACCAAGGGAATGGGACTCTGAGCCTTTGGAACCTGATCACTGATTCAATCAAAGTGTTATGTAAGATTTCATTGGAGAAAAGCTCCTATAGTTAAAAAAAGAAAATGTGTGTGTGCACACATGTGCAGACATACACACAGAGATATGTACAGATATATTCACATATATATTATACATATATGTTTATAAAACCATTCCTTTTAGAACTATTTTATTTGCAACTCACTATAGCTGTAAATTCAATTAACTCTAATTGCAAACCCAATTCGCTTTAGCTGAAGTATGGGGAAAACATTGAAGATTGTATTAACTATTATATCTGGAAAGTCAAAGGGTTTCTGTCTTAAACATTGATGAATGAAGGGTATCAAGCTATAGCATCAGGATGGGTCTCTCTTCTTTTTCTCCACTTCTTCTGTGCTGGATTCATTCTCAGAAGGTACTTTCCTTGTGGCAGCAAAGATGACTCCCATGATCTCTGGATCTGCATAGTTCTTACCAGTTGCAATCTAAGAACCTATCTCTCTGTGTCCTTAATGCTCTTTCAAAAGGACTCTGTTTGATAGTCTTAGTCCATGTGTCACCCCTTGAGCCAGAAGAAGTTCTCTAAGCAGCTAGCCTAGGGGCATGTGCCAACCTCTGTGGACGGAGAAGATGCTTGCCCAATAATATAACATAGCAACAAAAGGAAGATAAAAGGTAACACTTAGCCCTTACATTAATGAAATAAGGTAGGACAACTTTGTTTAATGGTAATATCAGACCTCCAATTTCAAAATTAAACTTGAAAACATCGCCCTAAATATACTAACATTCTTTATTAAAGCCAAATTGAAATTCACTCAGTGTATTAGTTCTGCTCTCACACTGCTATGAAGAAATATCCAAAACTGGATAATTTATAAAGGAAAGAGGTTTAATTGATTTACAGTTCTGCAGGGCTGGGGAAGCTTCAGGAAACTTACAATCATGGTGGAAGGGAAAGCATGGTGGCAGCTTCACAGGGTGGCAACAAGGAGAAGTGCAGAGCAAAGCCCCTTATAAAACCATCAAATCTTGACTAGGCATGGTGGCTCATGCCTGTAATCCCAGCATTTTGGGAGGCTGAGGCAGGCAGATCACCTGTGGTTAGGAGTTCAAGACCAGCCTGGCCAAAATGGTGAAACGCTGTCTCTACTAAAAATACAAAATTAGCTGGATGTGGTATCACACACTTGTAATCGCAGCTACTTAGGAGGTTTCCCTTCCTTGAATATTTCAGTCCTAAAGCCATAGGTGGGCAGAGCAAGGTGGGCCTCCACATTGGTGATGGGAAGCACTGATGACCCAGAGCAGGTCTGTGCACTGTGGAGCCTGGGCATGGGGAGAACATCCTCAGAGGAAGGCTGCCCAGTGCAGGGCACTGGAACCTAAACAGGTGAGGTGACAGAGCCTGAGGAGGACGTCTTCATTGGGAGGGGACATCCTGATGTGGGGACTCAAGCCTAGAGTGGTAATAGGAGAATTCACATGAAGGAGTGGCCCCTCCTGTGCAGGGTAAGAAAGGCCTTCATGGAAGGGAGTGGTCCTGCATAAAGTAGACACGAAGTGAGGTCAGGAGGGCATCTATATGGGGAGAGTGCAAAGCCATTGAGACTGGTTTCAAATAAGTAAATACATCAAAGATAGAGAACCAGGCTCCTCACTGTTTGAGAGGTGACTCACAAATAAGATGGAGAAAATTAAAATGAACCTGTAATATTGAATTGGAAATGGAGCTGTTAGAGAGAACTTACGGTTTTTGAGAGAGAGAGAGAGAGATGGTAGAGAATGACAGATAATAGAGTGATAGATATCAAATACATAGAGTGATAGAGTTATAGAGAGATGCAGATTATAAATAGATATAGATGATAGAGATAATCATGACAGGTGGGTTGACACAGATGACATGTAGATGATAGGTCATAGACAAAAACACAGATATAAGTGAGTGTGTGTGTGTGTCTGTGTATACACATATATATTTTTTCTAGCTCTATCCACCAATAGGGTCTGGAAGTGACAATACCCCAAAACAATGCACACATCTAGCACCCAAATCTTGGCTTCCAAATTCTCCACTAAAAGAAATCAGGGGTTTCTGAGGAGATGATTAATTTCGGGGCTGGGACAGGGAAAGTTCAAGATAAGCCTGGAACATATTGTGCCTGAAAGGAAGGGCCTGAAATGATGGGGATGTGTCAAAAGGACATAAAAGCAGGCTTGTAGTAGGCTCCTTGGCCAAATCTGGGACAAATTTAACATCGAAATGAATAATAACGGATTTTAATTCATCGAATGAGTAGGAAACTGTGAGTTCATAGTATTCTAAATAAGCAAATGAACAAATTGAAAGCTTGATGAGGAACGGGATATTGTATTAGTCCATTCCCATGCTGCTGATAAAGACATATCCGAGACTGGGTGATTTATAAAGGAAAGGGGTTTGATTGACTCACAGTTCCACGTGGCTGGCGAGGCCTCACAATCATGGCAGAAGGCAAGGAGGAGCAGTCACATCTTACATGGTGACAGGCAAGAGACAATGAGAGCAAAGTGAGAGGGGAAACCCTTTATAAAACCATCACATATTATAAGACTCACTGCCACGAGACCAGTATCGGGGCAACCACCTCCATGATTAAATTATCTCCCACCAGATCTCTCCCACAACACGTGGAAATTATGGGAGCTACAATTCAAGATTAGATTTGAGTGTGGACACAGCCAAACCATATCAGATACTTGTGTAGTTTCAAAGTATCTCTCTCCAAATGACTCATTAACTAATGAAGGAGAAAAGAGTAAGTTTACCATGGAAAAGCCCAGCAGACACCACCTATTATGTGCTGGATTGTGTACTCCCCAAAATTTGTATGCTGAGGTGCCAACTCCCAGTACCTCTAACTGCCACTGCTTGGAGACAGATCCTTTAAGACGGCAATTAAGGTAGAATGAGGTCATATGCGTGGACCCTAATCCAATACAATTGGTGTCCTTGTAAGAAAAGGTGATTATGACACAGAAAACACACAGACTGGGGGACAACCGTATGAGGACACAGCGAGAAGATAGCCATCTGCAAGCCAAGAATAGAGAAACCAAAACCTGCCTACACCTTGATCTTGGACTCCAGAACTGGGAGAAAATTAATTTCTGTTGTTTAAACCACTCGGCCTGTGGTTTTGTTATGGCAGCCCCAAGAAACTAATACACCACCTGTATTAGTCCACTCTTGCACTACTACAAAGAAATGCCTGAGACTGGGTAATTTATAAAGAAAAGAGGTTTAATTGGCTTATGGGTTTGCAGCTGTACAGGAAGCACAGCAGCTTCTGCTTCTAGGGAAACCTCAGGAAATTTGCCATCATGGTGGAAGGTGAAAGGGAAGCACAGACATCATGTGGCTGGGGCAAGAGGAAAAGAGGGAGGGGGGAGGTCCCACACAATTTTAAACAACCAGATCTTGTGAGAACTCACTCACCATCATGAGAACAGCAGCGAGAGGATGGCACTAAACCATTCATGAGCAATCCACCCCCATGATCCAATCACCTCCCACCAGGCCTCACCTCCAACACTGAGGATTACAGTTGAATATGAGATTTGGGGTAGGGGAACACAGCTCCAAACCATATCACCACCTTAATCAAGCACCCAGAGTACTGTGCTTCAGTCATGGGGCAAATCAAAAGTACATACCTCCTGATACAATGAAAAGGGCACCGCAAATAAATGATTCAATGTATGGGTTGAAATTATCACACTAGCTTCTGTTTACCAAATAAACTATTTGGGAAACAAGAGAAGAGGCAGGGTGATCCATTAGAAGAGTTACTGTAGCCCAGGTAAGAGATGATGATGGCTTGGGCTACGGTGGTGATGCTGGGAAAGTGATAAATGGCTCCAAAATAAGAACAGGGGGCATTTCGGAGTCAAAAACGTCTAGGATTATAAACAACCCTCTCGTATGTGTTTTCTTTTTTTTTCTCCAAGGTATGGGGCCTGGGGAGGACAGTACATGTACAAAACAAGGAATCACCTGCACGTTTCCTGACTTCACTGGAGAGCACTTACTCATTCTCCAAGGCACACTCATGTCCTCCCTTCTACACACCCTTCCACCCAACATGAATCACTTCTCCACACTCCCACAGCACTTTGTTCCTGGGCTGAGAAACAGGGCCTTGCCACTTCCTCTTGTGGTTAGTGGTGTTTGTCTCCACTTCCAGGTTCTTCTAAGATCCTGAATGGCAAGTTCCTGTCTTGGGCAGCAAAGAGCCTCAGGACTAACAGAGCCTGAATTATAGTATATGTTTTATAAAATATGTGCAAATGTCTAAAGAGGATAACTGTCAAACAGAAGCAGTTACCAAAGAGAGCTATTAGACCAATGAATTTACTAGGGGAAGCTACGGTATTTCATTCATCACTCCATTGGTTAACCAAATATCTGCAGAACTGGCTGGATAGAACAGGATTTCCAAAGTCATTTCTCTGCCTATCCTAAAAAAATAAAAATAAAAAAATTCTGATTCTGCAGGAACAGTTTAGAACTGCCTTACAATCAGCACTGAAAATTCCTTCTAGTTAGGAAGTTCGACAGGTTCACTCGTGCCTGATTTAGCAACAGACATGAGGGCTGCCTTTATCAAAGAATGGTTGCAATGAAAAACAGGCTTTGAACCAAGGTCAACCCCACAAGTGACTCAGCACATGAGCAGTGTCATGTGTGCCTTCCATAGATGCCAGCTTCACTCCCAGGTCCTGGTCACAGAGCTCGATTCCCTTGACACACTTTAGTTGTAAGGGAAGTATACTTTTCTGTAAACTCTTTCAAAGGAATGCTTAGGCATTTACTATCCCAAACGTATACGAAAAAAGTTCAAAGCCACTCTAAATCCCCTATGACGTTTTCATCCAAACATGTTTCTTGATTCTGTTTTTAGTTTCCACCTGCTTCAGTGGATTTCCATAGCCCAGGGTTTTTGTCTTTCTTTGTCATTGTTGTATCCTCAGACCCAGAACCGTGTAGGAATCATAAGCCCCAAATACAGGTGTTTTCCTTCATAAAACTAGAGAAACAATGATTTGAAAACGTACCCAACTCTAGCCTGTGATCCCTAATTGATTTGTGTAATCACCAAGGGTATATCTTAACTAAGCCAAGGCATACAATTTTCAAAGGTTCTCAGAAAAGTTTAAATTCACCTGTTTTTATAAGAAATATATATATTTCACCTTGAGAGGCGACCAACTGGTTCTGCTCTGATATCCACTGACCAATCACAGCTTAGAAAGCAAAGGGATCTGAAATGTTTTAGGTCACCAAGACAGAGTATACATTTTTTATTCTCAGCGTTCTCCCAGACATCTTTTCCAGACATAGAACCAAGAGCCAGCAAGTAGTCTGAATTACTATATGCTTCTAATAACAGCAGGAAGTGCTCATAACAGGAATTTATGATGATGGAGGGCCATCAAAATCCTTGATGGGATCCTCAGCCTAGGCTGTAACATGTACAGCCTGAAAACTCACCACCCACCCACGATGCCAAGAACACCACTAACCTGGTAGCTTCTTTCAGCTGACTTCCTGCTGTTGGGTTTTTGTATTCTCCACCAACATCAAAATCTTACACATATGTGTTAGTCCAGATCTCCTATAAATTGCTTTATCTTACAAAACCTTTCAGCAAAACATTTAATTTGCAAATGAATAATAATGATTCTAAGGGAGAATCATTATTATTTCTTTTTATATTAAAATATGGCTTTAATCTAGAGTAAAACACTCAAGAGAAACTACTTTTTAAATTTAAAGTTGTCTCTTTCTAGAACTTTTATTTTTAGCAACAAGTATTCACTCACTTCCTATATGATAAAAGAAACTGATTTTGAATTTTTCTGTAACTAGCAAGAAAGTTAGGACTACTCAAGTCAAGGACTAAAGGAAGATCAATTTCCAGAGAAGTAAGCAGAACTGAGAGCCCAGTAGTTGTCATTTCCTTTACAGGCATTGGCTGAACCAGGCAAACTCAAGTTTTGGTTTCTAGAGCCTCAAGGGCCTAAAGGACAAAACGCAATATTGAAGGCCTGTCCAAGATGGGAAGTCTAATTACAGTCTTCCTTTGAAGGTGGGATATCAAAAGGACTACAACTTCTGTGTAAGAGTAAAGTAGAAATCATCCATCCCCCTCTCCAGATGTAAGCAAGTAAATTGCTTGTGTCAAATCTTACTGCTAAGTGAAAGGGAAAAATAACTTTCCCCTAAAGATTTAAAACTACTTGGCAATTAAAAGGAACAATTACTTAGAAATATAAAATCAATAAGCATAAGGTACTTCAAAACTATATGAGAGTAATCACATTTGAAAAAAAATAGATATAACTTAAAAATGAGAAATAAAGCTGGGTGCAGTGGCTCATGCCTGTAATCCCAGCACTTTGGGAGGCTAAGGTGGGTGGATCACCGAGGTCAGGAGTTCAAGACCAGTCTGACCAACATGGCAAAACCCTGTCTCTACTAACAATACAAAAATTATCTGGGGGTGGTGGTGCACGCCTATAATCCCAGCTACTCGGGAGGCTGAGGCAGGATAATTGCTTGAACCTAGGAGATGGAGGTTGCAATGAGCCAAGATTGTGCCACTGCACTCCAGCCTGGGTGACAGATGGAGACTCCATCTTAGAAAAAAAAAAAAAAAAAAAAAAAAGGTAGGGGGGTACTGGGAAAAAAAAAAAAAAACTAGAGAAATAAAGGATATTAACAAGATGACTGACTACAATTGCCTGGCACTTATCTCTCCCTCCCAATAAAAAACAACCGAAACAACAAATAAACAACTAAAATCCAACTGTAGTGTCTGAGGGACAGCATTGGAGTGTAGAAAGGGACTGGTGAAAGCCTTGTGGAGCACAGAAGCCCAGGATGGCAGCAAAGAGAGGTGAGCAAGGCACCCTGGCCCTGTCACCTCATCTCTCCCATTGAGATTGGCTCAGATCCAGGAAGGACTTCCCCTTATGGGGAAAAGGTAAGTAAAAGGCCCCTACCTGCCCAAACTGCCACTGCAGATTCCTGTAGTATAGGAGAATCCCACCATCTTCAAAAGCTTTTAGCCCAGTTTGGGGAGCTGCTTGGAATTAACATAGCTGCATTACTCCAGAGTAGGAATACAAGGTGTAAACACTCCCCACTCCGATCAACCTGTGATCCAAGCTACTGCAGCACTGTGCCATCTTGAAATTGGAACCACTGCTAGAGTCTGCCCTGCTCTGGGGCCCAGTAGCCATTGCATGTCTCCAGCCTTGAGTTTCTACTGTTATCTTACTAAGTCCACACAGGTGACTGCAATATCACAACCCTGTCTGCTTGGAGCATGGGACCAGGAACAGCTGTGACTTCAGCACTACACAGCGGGGAAGCCAAACTTTGGCTGGCTGAAATAAATAGTCCAATGGACCTTCCCCCAGAAAGTCCCGCTTCTTGGCACTCCCCACCAAAGAAACAGGCTGACAAACCTGCCCCTAAGCCAAGCCACTGAACCACTGCACACCCATGTCCCAGCTGGAGAAGCAACAAGGTGAACTCCAGCAGAAACACTCCTGGTGGACCCACCCCCAGGTCTGCCAACCATCTGTGTCCCTGCACTCATGGCCCGAGAAACTGCATGGAAAATTCACACCCAGCAAGCCATTCACCAGACCACCAACCCACACACACTCATGCCTCTGGCCAGAGAAAAAGCTCAACGGTCCTATCCCCAGCAAAGATGCACCACTGCCACCAGAGATTCTCATAGCCTAGGCCACTGAGGTGCTCACAAAGATCATTAACATGGATTATAGCCAAAGAATCTTAACAGATTAACAGATTATACTACTGTGTCCACCCAGAACAAATGCCAACTCAACTTACCCACTGACACCATATGACTCACCTATAGAAATGACTCTCCCTACTAAAGGTACTCCACAAAATTGGAAGAGGCAATTGTTTTGCCAGACACACAGGTATCAACATAGAAACACAAGAAAATGAAAATGCAAGGAAACATGACACCTCCAAAGGAACATAATTATTCTCCAAAACCAGCCCTCCTCCGAAAAACGTATTTACAAGATACTGAAAAAATATATATATCAAAATAATGAGTTTAAGAAAACTTGGTGAGATGCCAAGCAAGTCTGTCCCAAAGACTGCAGAGTGACGGATGAAAGGAGCACCCAGACACAGGTATTTTGCATGAGAGCCGCTAGAGGACTGCTGCAGAGTGAGCAGTCCCGATAAGCCGGAGCTGCTTATACTTATTCAGTACTGGCATAATGTCAAAGGCCTAGAGACAACCCAATTTGTGGGTAATTAACATTGTCATACCCCCTTGCAGGGAGCAGTCTTGCACCTAGATGATCAAAAGTCGGTCTCTGGATCACATAAGTAAACTTATCTAGATAGATTTATTTGCACTCCCTTGTTACCTACTCCTCACCCTTAGCCTTCCAGTAAGAGAATTAGCTACCCTCAGCTTTATTCTCTCCTGAAGCTTTTGCAAGACCTTCCGATCTTTCAAGAAGGCTTGCATCTTTCCCTATATCTTCTCCCACCACCCTGACCAATCTTCTACAATCAGATGCAAGATACATATAGACAATTCAACAAAATCAGGAAAATATTTCATGATCCAAATAAGAAATTTAACAAAGAGATAGAATAAAAGAAACAAACAGAAATCTTGAAGCTTAAGAATTCAATGAATGAAATAAAAAAATACAACGGAGACCTTCAACAAAAGACCAGAGCAAGCAGAAGAATTTCTGAACTTGAAGACAGGTCTTTTGATATAACCCAGGCAGACAACAACAAAAAGAAAATAATAAAACAGAATGAGGAACGACTACAGGACTTGTGGCCATCATAAAGCATGAAATTTGGGGGAGACAAATATCCAAACTATGGCAAGAAGAGATGCAAAAATACATAGAAAATCTATTTCATGAATTAACAGCTGAAAACTTCCAAGGTCTTGGGAGGGATACAGACAACCAGATCCAAGGAACTGAGATTCCCAAATGGATTCAACCCTAAAAGGTCTTCTGCAAGGCACATATATTCAAATTGTCAAAAGTCAAAGACAAAGAGAATTCTAAAAACAGCAAGAGAAAAATGTCAAATTACATATAAGGGAATTTCCATTAGACTAATAGCATATTTATCAGCAGAAGCCTTACAGGACAAAAAGAATGAGGTGATACAGTTAAAGTGCATTAAGAAAAAAAAAAAATGCCAGCTAAGAATACTATACCCAGGAA